GACTTGGACACTGCCTCACAGCAGCGCTGTGGGAGACCTCTGCTTCAGTCCCGAGCTACTGCTCACCCGCGCCGCCACCAGACACCCCTGCAGCGAAGCAGCGGCCTCCACAGCGCTGGTAGCCAAAGCTCTCCGAACCGCGCAGGGACGCCGCCCCCAGAAGCCAACCACCACCTTCACCCCAGCAGCAGGTCGGGTATCAGGCAGCGTATCTGCTCAGGGCCGCAACCGAGGCTTTAGACTTGCGTTGCCAACACACACTTGGGAACACTCAAGCAACCCTGGACTTTTGCCATTTAGTTTTTCCAAACCGATTCTCCCTCACCAAGACCAGGCTGGAACGACAGGTCACATGCAGCAGATACATCCTCCGTCCCCAGCCAGTGTTCTGGTCTCCAAGAAAGGGAGAGGGAAGGAGAATACAAGGGCAGGGATCTCCCGCTTCCCTCCACACTCCCCACCCCCCACACCACATCCAGCACTGCAGGTTGTCTGACCGACAAAGTCTTTTAAGTTCTCCCCATAGGTCTGTTTACCTGCCAACGTGCTAGTGTTCCAGTCCTGGACTACCCCTTCCGATTCCTTGACTGTGTGATTAAGACAGAACATTGCATGTCAGGGTTATGCCAGGCACAGGATAAACAGGAGCTCTACAACAACCAGCCAGCCCCCCGTGCCCCTCACGGGCTTGCTCAGCCCGTTCCCACATACCCATTGCTCCCATCATCTGGCTGCCGTAGGCACCACCGCTTCCTCCTGCTGTCGAATTCAAGAAGAGTTCTACGTATCTGTGTTCTGGAAGAAGAAGATTTTGCCATCAGAGTTTTGCACCCAAGCCCCGGGGGGCGGGCCGCAGCGCAGCGGGTAAGGCTGCGACAAACCCCCAGCCACGCCTTCAGCGGCCGTACTTACGCATGTTTGCTTTGTCTTTGGACATGGCGGCCACTGCATCCTCGTGAGTAGCAAATTCAACGTCTGCCTCCCCAGTTACTCGGCCATCTGGTCCGATCTCGATGTGTACCCTTACGGGGTTCAGGGGCGAGAAGAACTACGTACAGAACACAAGGATTAAGAGGCACCGATGCGATGGTTCAGTCCCACGGCAGGGCCATTTCTCAAACGGAAGGCTCGTTAACCACGGAGCGGCCGACGCGTCCCAGCGACCGCAGAACCCCCAAGCCGCGCCGTGACGGCGGCGGGGTTGGCACTCACGTTATAGATGTCGTTCTCCGTGGCTCTGTAGGGCAGGCCCCTCATGTGGACACAGTGGCCAGTCGTGCTCTGGAAGGTGGACGTCCCGTCGCCGTATCTGTGGTCCGACATTCCTGCAGAGAAAAGAGTCCATTCTAGGTCTTTCAGATGTATTTTAGTTTCTTTGGAGACACATTGAAAGTTCAGTTACAATTCCTATTAGAGCAATCTTACCTCTTCCAAATCTATCAGAACCAAAACCATAGCCATCACTATACCCATTGTAGTCATCATAACCTCCATAACCTACAAACAGATGGGACAACACGTTCATTTCAACCACGGAAAGATGCAAATGCACACGAACGCACCACAACAGCCAGCACTAGCACATCCCACCTCTTCCAGAAACCCAGCCATGGCCACATACAAACCCGTAGTGACAGAGCAGGGCAGACACTGCCAGGTCCAAGTGTTGCTGCTTCTCAGGTGAGCAGCTCCCTCTCGGACTTCGCGCACTTACCTCCTCCATAAGCTCCACGCCTCATTCTTTCCAAGCTACTTCCTCTACCAAGACTGTTATATCCCCGCGTAAGACCAGGTCTGTCGTAAGGACCGGGTCTCTGCATTGCCAACAGCTTGCGTGGAGGGTCGTAGTGAGTGCGCACTTCCGCTCGGCTACTCTTGAAGATCTCTATGTACCTGCAAGGGTTTCCACAGAGAGAAGTCAGTCTTCAGTTCCTCCCACAGGCACCTCACAACGCACATTAAAACAAGCCATTTAGTCATAGCCTCGAAACTGGCAGTCTATTTTAAGCCAGGTTTCTTTACGTTATGTAGGCAATGACGTACTACTGTAAGCACTACATTACTTTCCAATCAGTGTATTTTCAAGAAATTACAATTATTGAAGGGTTTACATGCTCCTCCTACTTCACAGTATCCCAACCTTAAGGGTGGGGGAGCAATATTGATTCCCCACCCCCTCCCCCAATTTAAAAGGTGTTAGTCAAAAACCATAGGAGGGACTGATGTCCGCTCAACTCGGCACTGGTTGTGCTCACGTGGCAAGGGAAGCAGAGGGTTAAAAACCCGATCTCCACCAAGATTTTAACCCAGCAGGATGCTACAAAAAGCTCTGTATGTGCTAGTGAACCCAGCCTATGCTTCAGTGATTCAGCATAGGCAAAAAGTGCATGCTTCAATGAAAAATAGTCACAGGTCAAATAGAGTAAAACCCCGTTGTGACAATTTCTTGAAAGCTATGCTTATTACGTTGAAGATTAATGCAGTACGAAAATTTGTTACATTTCAACTTATAAAACAAGTTTAGAAAGTATCACATTTTCTTATGGTAATGAGTACTGTGCATGTCTTTAGAGCTAAAGGCAGAATCGGTGCTATTTGAGAAGTTAAAGCCATAGTCTCTCAACTTCGTCACTCCCAAGCTATCGGTTTTGCATTCCGCCAGGATTACCAAGTTTTTCCAAAGCACTTAAGCTCAGCCCAATTTCAGTTTTAATTTTGGGTAGATCCAAACAGTCTGTGCCACGGGCACATCAGCAATACCTTCACTTATCACCAAGTCAGAGCCCAGAATACTTTTTCTATTCGGACACTAGCACTTTCAGAAGAGAGAATATGGATTTACTTGTTTACCATAAGAAAAGTGACAGAGCCAACCAACCATCCATCCCCACCTGTGCCCTATTCTTTCCTTGTGTTTCTTTAGAGCCTTTTCAGCTATTTCCTGTGAAGCAAACTGCACGAAGGCCTCCCCCGTACTCCTCCCCTGGAAGTCCACCGGCAATGTTATCCCATTTGGCACGATTTCCAACCCTTCAACCCAAGGACAAATAACCCCAGTAGGGGGGCAATATTAACATCACAAGCCCAGTCATGAGTTTTTCTTATAGCTTTAAATACACCAGAATTTTAACACGTTGTAAGTGAATGGTATGTTGATTCGAGAACACCAGAAGAAAAAGCACGTCAACAAAAAGCCATCCACGCTCACATACCATTCAGTTCACCTTCTTAACCCACCCTGCAGAGCACAGAAAGGTTCTGAGTGCAAGGACAACTCCTCAGAGAAAGCATCCAATGCAGGGTGCATTAAGAAGTTCATATATTATTACAAACCTCTTCAGTTCTGTGATTTAAGATGAACTTTTTAAGACAACAAATTCAAACACAGCAAGTTCAACAGCTTTTATATACAAGTGTTTTTACTAGAAGTCACTCAGGTAAAATAGTCTTAGGCAAACATCAAGTTTCAGCATTAATTTTTCTCGTTAGGACTGCTTAAGAAAAAATTATGAAGTCATTTCAGAAGTATTTGTTTCTGAACAGAAGAGGCACATTGTGTATATATTAAGCACATGAACAGTTTTTAAATCTTGAATCACTCAACCACATAAGAAAGAGACAACTGAAAACGCACATGCTTAGGAATTGCTCTTGTTCACAATATATTACCGACTCAGAAAATAAAAAACAAGTTCTGAAGTTGTAAAATTGGAAATCTCTGCTGTATTTTAAAGGAAAACTGTATGGTCAATCATCTCGTTACAGAAAAATATGCCAGCCAATTTCACTCACAGTCAGAAATCTACTACTTGGAAAATACTACTGAGTTAAATCCTACAAAACAGATTTCATTCTTAGGCATTTTAACAGTATTCCAGTTCCTAAAACATACAACAGCTGCAAAAAAAGTGAGAATGAGTCAACACAAGATATTATCTCTTCATCCACTGAACTTTTAGCTAGGGCTATAACATCAAGGGCTATCCTCATCCTGCCTTGGAAGGGGAGCGAGGAGATCTGCACCTGGGTAGAGTTCAAGCAGGTTGGGTTTCCTTCTGAAATCTTATTTAATATTAAGCCTATGTTTGTGGAAATCACGGACACTATGCACGCCCTTCCTCAGATCCTGCTCCTTGTACTGAGCCCAGCAGTAAGGGTGTTCTACATCCTCCGCTGACCAGTGTGAGCCCAGTAAGACACGAGGTGGAAATACCCTTCCATCTGAATTGTTCACTTTTCATTTAGAAGGCAAGACACTTGTTTCCTGCTATCCTTCCTTGGAACAGTTCGTCTCACTAGGCGTAAGTTAGAGCAGCTTTTTGGAGTTCTATTTAATAAGTACTTTAGGAACTGATGCCTCAAGCTCAGATGACTAAAAGAATTGCTCAGTTACTTTCAATACCCATCAGTATACTGCTGGAAGTACTACTGGGCAATCCGTGATGTGTTCTGGGTTTTCCTTTCAGCACAGACCAACAGTGCTACAGCTACTACTTTTATCCCACATACCTGAAAAAAACTGTACAATTTCTTCTTTACTACAGCCAAATGGGAGTCCTCTAAGACGTACAAAACCATCATTAGCTGTATCAGGGCTGTTGGGACCAGTATGCTTCAGAACCCAATCCATTTCAACGTTGTTTGACTTGAAAACTGTAAAAGGCACTTAGAATTAATGCATTCTGGAATACACAGCAGTTTCAAAAGTCATCTGCCTTCAAACTAGTCAACTTAGGGTACACAAGTCCATCTGCCCCTTCACATGCACTTGAAAGAGACAGAAAAGCAATTAACCAAAAACCCATCCAGCACAAACACATTTAGTCAGTTACTACACCAACTGAGTCAAACCTTCAACATATCTGTGTCCCATCGTTTCTCTGTCTTTCTTCAGTGCCAATTTCACATCCTCCTCTGATTCCAGTTCGGCAAACGCTTCTCCACTTGGTCTGCCCTCCCTGGTGTAGATGAAGCGGATACCCAAAGCCCCATTTAGAATTTTGCAATCTGAAAACGAAACAGGAAGGCCAGGATTAATTTAGTTATTACAGGAACATTGTCAATTTGAAAGTTTCAGATATTATGAAAGGAAAAAGCTAACAACAACTCTCAAGTTATACCAAGAAAACAAAACCAGCAGTATTCTTGTTATGACTTTTATAGCAACCAATAACCTAAGGTACCACCTAAATGCAAGTTACTCTTCTTGGCAAGGCTGAAGATAAGCACCATGTCCAACATGCTAAATTCCTAAAGCAGCTTTAAATATACACTTTCTTCAGTGGCTGGAGATTTTATCACCATTTCTTACTGCAGGATCCTGATTATCTGGGTGAAGGACACTACCCACTAAACACGTAACAAGAGATCCTATTAGGACAACACCAAGAATTAAACTGATTTAGTTCAGCCTGAGGCATGAATTCTGAAGTTTTCTTTAAATTGAAGATTATAGCTTCTTGAGAGACCAGGAGCTAAGGTAGTTGCGGCCATCCCAGGAACCTCCAGGCTAAAGCTTTGTTGTGTGTAGTTCCTGCTAGCAAAAGCAAGGCTTTCCACACTGCATCCTGGCCGAGAGGCTTTTCACATTACAGACTTCGCTAGCTACTGAAGTGCCCCGAAAGCCTTCTGAAACTGTTTACTGCAGCACTCCCACTGCCCAGGAAGCACCCAGAACAGGTAACACAGCCCAGCTCCTCTCCCGGACCCCCTCCCCCAGTCCTGCTTACCAGAGAAAAACCTCTGCACCTCCTCGGTGGAACAGGACCAAGGCAGCCCCCTGACCTTCACCACATATCCCTCGCTGCTCTCCGTGTTGAGCATCACGTTGGGGGTGAGGCTCGGCTCTGTCTCAGCCTCTGTGGTTGCTGCAGAAGATCAAAGCAGGCCCTTTTGAGACGCTGCACAGCACGGCCGCCACCCGCACC